GGGGAGCGAGCAGCGGCGCTGTTAGCACCGACGGCTGCCAGGCGCGCAAGTGGGTGCGCCAGCGTCTGACCCGGAAGCCCCCAAGCCGGCCTTGCCAGTTGCGGGTGCGCGCGCGCAAGCGTGTACGCACGCACACACACACACACACACACACACACACACACACACACACACACACACACAAAACACTTGAATTGGTGCAGCGTGCCGGGGCCGCACCTTCTTGGGCACCCCTTGGTAGAGGGCCAGCCTCAGGAAGCGCTCCGAGTTCTCCACCTTTCCCAGGACGCGCGACACCGCGTTGCTGACCAGGTTGACCACCTGCGGCGGTCGGCGGTTGACAGTTGGGGAGTGGTAGTTGGCGGGTGGCGGGTGGTGGTGGGCGGTTGGGGTTCAGCGGTCGGCGGTTGGATGGTTGGAGGTTGGGGGTCGGCTGCCGCGCCGGGGGGACGCTGCGAGGGCTGGGTGGTGCGGAGGGCCGGACGGGGGTTGCGGGCGCAGCCATTGATATCAAGGTTGCGGCTGCAAGCATTCTGGTGAGATCGTTGCGGCGGAGCACTACTGGGTGGGGCTCGATACGCCCCGCGCCGGGCCGAGAGCCTGACAGCTGAAGTTAAAGAGCAGCCTCGAACGCAGGCAGCACAACACACAAGAGGCGGACGAAACCCGCCGTCGAGGGCACCGCAGAGTCTCAAGGCTTGAAGCGAGGGGCGCCCCCCCGCCCCCCTGGGGCCCACCTTGATGCCTATGAGCGCGGGGTAGATAACGAAGTTGCCGCTCTCGTCAAACAGCACGCTCGGGGCCGGCACGGCGTCGCCTGGCGCGAAGTGGCGGGCGTGTCAAGGGTACACCCGGTGGTTGGAGGGGATTGGGGTGAGGTGGCAGGGTGAAAGTGGAGTCCCTGCGTTATACTGGTGCATGACTGCTGTGAGTGCCCGCTCAACTTGAGCCGCTGCCATTGGCTGGCTGAAGCTGCACCCGTACGTACGCCGTCAGCGTCGCTCGAGAGCCCGGCCTTTCGCCCAACGCCTCCCGAGGAAGAGGCCCCCCCACCCCCCACTTGCGAGGACGTCCTGCTTGCGCTGTACCCAAAATGTGTGTGTATGTGTGTTCGTGTTGTGTGTATGTGTGTGAGAGAGACGTGGAGGGTGGGGAGAGGGGGAAGGGAGGGGGGGCGGCAAGCGCGAGGGGGGAGAGAGCAAAACACACGCTCCGGCTCCCACCCCCTCACCCTGCGCGCGTATCTCCTTCTCCAGCGCGTATCTCCGCCCAAAGTCGATGTCCTCCAGCTGCAGCGCCTCGGGCCCGCTCTTCTGCAGCTCGTGGGCCACCTGGCAGCAGCGGGTTCAAGAGGTATTCGATTTGGTTGGGTTTGGTCTAGTCCGTGTTGCAATGGTTTTGATCTTTTGGAGTTGGTCTGTTTTGGCGGGGGTGCTGGAAGGGGTTGGGTGAACGGTGGCAATTAGGAGCGAGCGTTTTCGAGTTCCCCTGTCTGGTGGGCCGACGGGATGCACAAAAAGCAAGCAGGGAAATCCCGGTCTGCAGCCAGGCGCAGCCGGGCTTGGAGACGCTCGGCGACCGAAAGATGCTGCAGCCTTGAAACTGCGTCGAATGGCAGGGCTGCACCGCCGCCCACGCACCTCCAGGCTCTCGTCGTAGCTTCTCCGCAGCTTCCCCGTCCGCAGCCGCCACACCCGCACGCGCCCGTCCGCGCAGAACATCGCAAACTGCTGCCCGTCGCGGCTGACGTCCAGGCTGCGGCCATAGGTTTTGGCCTTTTATTTTGGGGAGTGGGAAGGAAAGTCCGGGGAGGGCACAGGCAGGGGTAAGGTCGGGTGGGGCGGGAGGATGTGGCGAGGTGCACAATGACGGGGTTCGATGTGGCAGGGCCAGCATGGGTGGGCGGGAGAACGCATAACCAGACACGCCGCGTCACCGAGATAAGCACTCGACCGGCAAACACGGCAAAACCGCTCATCACCCAGGCACAAAACCTCCGGACTTCCGCCGAGGCCCTTGTCCGCTTGCCATTCCGACGCCCCTGGATGCCCCTTCCCTCCGCGCAAC